ATACCTGTAGCTGATTGGTTCACAGAAAATTCAAATTAAATGGGGTTAGTTAAAATGCAAATGGTTTCTAAGGCATTATAACTTATACACGGTCCGTGGGGCTAAAATTAGGGAACCAATCAGTTATAGATTTAGGGCGTGGTTACAGGCCAGTTTAGCTGGAAATGCTATAGGTAAGGTTAGGTAGGTTTCTTTTGCTAGGCCAGGTTCATGCATCGTTGTATCGCTTATTACTTAAATCATGCAAAGAACGTCTTGGTGTGAAAAAAAGAATGACTCTTTCGGTGTCTGCTCCACCATTACCCAATAAATTATAGACTGTAGCAACATCTAAAACACCTATAAAAGCAGCCAACCTCGACCTCAGGCAGCTGTTTTGACTTCATTAAAGTGAAATTAACGAGTTGACCACTCTCATCAAGTATTACTTGTATATTATGTTAGTGTCAATTTGGTAAGCAGATTGACATGCCAGGAAGGGTCATAAGTCGTTAAGTCAATCATTACCGCATACACACACACACGCCCAGGAAGGGTCAAGTAAGTCATAAGTCAATCATTACTGCATACACACACACATGCCAGGAAGGGTCATAAGTCGCTAAGTCAATCATTACCGTACACACACACACACGCCCAGGAAGGGTCATAAGTCGCTGGGTCAATCGGGTCATAAGTCGTTAAGTCAATCATTACCGCATACACACACACACACACGCCAGGAAGGGTCATAAGTCGTTAAGTCAATCACACAAACACATTTCCCCAAAAACTTTCATTTCCACCGCTGTGTTTATCATGAAATACTTTTTTCACGCCTTAAACTGCAGTTTAATCAACATATAACTAATACTGTATACCGTACTGTACTGCCATCCCATGTAAAGTCCGTTTGATGTTTGGGTATTGTTACATTACTCAAGATGCAAAGTCACATAATGAATAGATCTTAAGAGCCTATCTTTTTCTTGTCTGGCGAGATATATGGGGAACACTGCTCAACCTGAGAGCCATATTGGTTGAACACAAATTGATCTCTTTATTTTTAATTTTGCTGGTTAACCCGGGGACCATGTTTCATTTTAATCACCACAGACATATGAAGCTTATTTTAACAATCTGAGTGAAATTTTCGTCCAAAATATACTGTAAGGGCCAAGATGTACGACCAACGTAGCCGATTCTACTCAAGTGTAACTTATATTGCAAAATCCATATAAATCTACTAAAGAAGCTAACGGATCTCCTCTGGGATTTAATCGTTAAATTCAGTCCACAGACCTTTACAAGTGGCAGTAATAATGTAAATAAATATGGCGACTTGTTCATCAGCGCCCACTCAGACAGTGTCTTGTCATATATTATATCATAAACTGTACATAACACTATAAACTATCATATAATTTAACTTAGCTTTCTATTTAAAACGCCCAAAATCGTCCATTATGCAGCAGACACACCGGTGTTTCTCTCCATGACGCCTCTCTCCACATTTGAGGAAGAAGGTACTCGTCGACAATCACAGGCCGTCTTGTACCACCAGCTGAAAAATCAATCAACCACATGCCAGCTATATATGGATTAATATCGTCAAGACCGGTTCAGTGATCATAGTAATTCGACAGTTTCTAAGTGAAAACTGACCAATTACACGCAGGATTTCAAACCCCCTTCGCCGTGACGAGACCAAAGTAGATGGATATTTAAAGATTTATTCAATAAATATACCGTTTTCTAAATAGACAGTCTGGGAGTCTAGATACGAAAAATGGGAAATTATATGAGATGATGCAAGAGTAATCCAAGAAAGGTGTTATTAGCGTATAGAGATTCAACAAGTAAAAATTAACTCTTTATTATGATCATTGGTCACCCAAAGGTCCTGTCGCAAACCACGAACCCCTGGATTCAGGATTCCGTGAACCCGGACTAGATTTCAGAACCCCGGGATTCAGACTCGGGAACCCTGGATTCAGACTCGTGGAACCCTGGATTAGATTTGTGGAACCCTGATTCAGACTGTGAACCCTGGGATTCAGACTCGTGAACCCCTGGATTCAGACTCAGAACCCCTGGATTCAGATTCTCGTGAACCCTGGATCTTGCACTGTGAACCCTGATTAGATCGAACCCCGGGATTCAGACTCGTGAACCCCAACCAGTAGACACACTGATACATTATTCTGTCCATAAATGGTCTGGATTAAAGAGCCTGAATCTCGTGGTTCGCGACAGGATTCTTTTTGGGTGGGATTATGACAATATAAAATGTACTAAATGATTTTGTGTACATTAAACATCTTGGAGAGTACTTATATTGATGTATTATTTGTGGTTATTAATTTTCATGAGTGAAGGATCGAGGGGTTTACCGAATAAAGCTAAATAAGCTTAGGAAAGTTCAATATTATTCTAGTTTAACAATATTGTGCCCATAAAGGAATACTTTTATACAGGTGCATCAACAGAATGATTTTCATACACACTGCCTTACAGATTTGGTGGCGATCATATGAATGTTTGTATTATAAACATCATTATCCTCAATTTCTGTATGACCTCACAGAGGGGGAGGGGTGTGGCTCCACATCAGGGAGAACAAGACCACACAGAGGGAGGGGTGTAGGTCTTACATCAGGGAGAACAAGACCACACAGAGGGAGGGGTGTAGGCCTTACATCAGGGGAGAACAAGACCTCACAGGAGGGAGGGTGTAGGTCTTACATCAGGGAGAACAAGACCACACAGGAGGGAGGGTGTAGGTCTACATCAGGGAGAACAAGACTCACAGGGAGGGAGGGTGGTCTTACATCAGGGAGAACAAGACCATAGGAGTGGGAGGGTGTAGGTCTTTACATCAGGGAGAACAAGACCTCACAGGAGTGGGAGGGTGTGTAGGCTCTACATCAGGGAGAAGGTGACCTCACAGGAGGGAGGGGTGTAGGTCTTACATCAGGGAGAGAACAAGACCACACAGGAGGGAGGGTGAGGCCTTACATCAGGGGAGAACAACAAGACCTCACAGGAGGGGGAGGGTGTAGGTCTTTAAGCATCAGGGAGAACAAGACCACAGGAGGGGTGTAGGTCTTACATCAGGGAAGACCACAGGGAGTGTGGAGTGGTGTAGGTCTTACATCAGGGGAGAACAAGACCACAGGGAGGGAGGGTGTAGGTCTTACATCAGGGAGAACAAGACCAGGAGGGAGGGGTGCAGGTCTTTACATCAGAGAACAACACCACACAGGAGGGAGGGTGTAGGTCTTGCCATCAGGGAGAACAAGACCACACAGGGAAAGGGAGGGTGTGTCTTACATCAGGGAGAACAAGACCACACAGGGAGGGGAGGGGTGCAGGCTCCTTACATCAGGGAGAAATAAGCACACACAGGGAGTGGGGTGTGGTAATCTTACATCAGAGTAGAACAAGCACCACAGGAGGGAGGGGTGTAGGTCTTGCATCAGGAGAAACACATCACACAGAGGGAGGGTGTAGGTCTTACATCAGGAGAAATGGGGGCACTCACACAGGAGGGGAGGTGTAGGCCTACATCAGGAGAACAAGACCACACAGGAGGGAGGGTGTGTAGGTCTTACATCAGGGAGAACAAGACCTCACATTAGGAGGGGAGGTGGGTCTTACATCAGGGAGAACAAGACCACAGGGAGGGGAGGGGTGAGGGTCTACATCAGGCAGAAATAAGACACACAGGAGGGAGGTGTGTGGTCTACATCAGGGGAGAACAAGACCACACAGGAGGGAGGGGTGGTGGTCTTACATCAGGAGAACAAGACCACACAGAGGGAGGGTGTGGTCTGGCATCAGGAGAACAAGCACACACAGGAGGGGGAGGGTGTAGGCCCCACATCAGGAGAACAAGACCACACAGAGGAGGTGTAGGTCTTACATCAGGGAGAACAAGACCACACAGGAGGGAGGGTGTAGGTCTTGCTATCAGGGAGAACAAGACCACACAGGAGGGAGGTGGGGAAATCAGCACCAGGGGAGAACAAGACCACACAGGAGGGGAGGGTGTAGGTCTTACATCAGGGAGAACAAGCACCACACAGGGGAGGGGTGTAGGCTCACATCAGGGAGAACAAGACTACACAGAGGGAGGTGTAGGTCTACATCAGGGAGAACAAGACCACACAGGAGGGGAGGGTGTAGGCCCACATCAGGAGCAGAACAAGACCACACAGAGGGGAGGTGTGTAGGTCTACATCAGGGTAGAACAAGACCACACAGGAGGGAGGGTGTAGGTCTTACATCAGGGAGAACAAGACCACACAGGAGGGAGGTGTAGGTCTTACATCAGGAGAACAAGACCACACAGGGAGGGGAGGGTGTAGGTCTTACATCAGGGAGGCAGAACAAGACCACACAGGGAGGGAGGGGGGTGTAGGTCCAAGCATCAGGGAGAACAAGACCACACGGGAGGGGAGGGGTGTAGGTCTTGCATCAGGGAGAACAAGACCACAGGAGGAGGGCGTAGGTCTACATCAGGAGAACAAGACCATTACAGAGGGAGGGTAGGTCTTACATCAGGTAGAACAAGACCACACAGGAGGTGGGGAGGGGTGTAGGTCTTTACATCAGGGAGAACAAGACCACACAGGAGGGAGGGTGGTGGTCTACATCAGGGAGGGAAACACACACACAGAGGGGAGGGGTGTAGGTCTTAAGCATCAGGGAGAACAAGACCACAGGAGGGAGGGTGTGTAGGTCTACATCAGGGAGAACAAGACCACACAGCAGGGAGGGTGTAGGTCTTACATCAGGAAACAAGACCACACAGAGGGGAGGTGTAGGTCTTACATCAGGGAGAACAAGACCACACACGGGGGAGGGAGGGTGTAGGTCTACATCAGGGAGAACACACTACACAGAGGGGAGAGGGGTGTAGGGTCTTACATCAGGGAGAACAAGACCACACAGGAGTGGGGAGGGTGTAGGTCTTACATCAGGGAGAACAAGACCACACAGAGGGAGGGGTGTAGGTCTTACATCAGGGAGAACAAGACCACACGGGAGGGAGGGTGGTGTTCTAAGATTTAGGGAGAACAAGACCACACAGAGGGAGGGTGTAGGTCTTACATCAGGGAGAACAAGACCACACAGGAGGGGAGAGGGTGTAGGTCTTACATCAGGGAGAACAAGACCACACAGGAGGGAGGGTGTAGGTCTTACATCAGGGAGAAACAAGACCACACAGGAGGGAGGGGTGTAGGTCTTACATCAGGGAGAACAAGACCACACAGGAGGGAGGTGTAGGTCTTTACATCAGGGGAGAACAAGACCACACAGGAGGGGAGGGGTGTAGGTCTTACATCAGGAGCAGAATAAGACCACACAGAGGGAGAGTGTAGGTCTATATCAGGGGAGAACAAGACCACAGGAGGGAGGGGTGTAGTCTTACATCAGGGTAGAACAAGATTACACAGAGGGAGGGTGTAGATCTTTGAATATCAGGGGAGAACAAGACCACACAGAGGGTGTAGGTCTTAAGCATCAGGGTAGAACAAAGACCACACGGGAGGGAGGGGTGTGGTCTGATCAGGGGAGAACAAGACCACAGAGGGAGGGTGTAGGGTCTACATCAGGAGCAGAACAAGACACACAGAGGAGGGGTGTGGTGGTCTTGACATCAGGGTAGAATGAAGACCACAAGGGAGGGAGGGTGTAGGTCTTACATCAGGCGAACAAGACCATTAATAGGAGGGAGGGGTGTGTAGGTCTTGCATCAGGAGAACAAGACCACATTATGGAGGGAGGGGGTGTAGGTCTACATCAGGGTAGAACAAGACCACAGAGGGAGGGGTGTAGGTTTTTATATCAGGGGTAGAACAAGCACTCACACAGAGGGAGGGTGTAGGTCTTGCATCAGGGTAGAACAAGACCACACAGGAGGAGGGTGTAGGTCTTGCATCACTGTGTTGTACTAAAAGCAATATTCGATTACAATGGATAATAGAAGTTAAGCACAACACTCCCATGCGTTGTTCTTCATCTGTTAGTTGAACTTGTATGTCAATCATGGCCTGTGGAGAGTGATCAATACCCCAGAGATGACCTCTGTACTCTGTGGTGGTGGTAGTGAGGCAGAGGTGGTACACTGGTGGTGGTGTGTGGAAGGTGGTGATGGTGGTGTGTGGGGAGGCAGTGGTAGTGGGGAGGTGGTGGAATGATGGTGTGAGGGAGGGAGTGGTGGTGTGGGGAGGTGTGGTGTAGGGAAGGTGGTAATGATGGTGTGTGAGGGGAGGGAGTGGTGGTGTGGGGGAGGCAGTGGTGGTGTAGGGAAGGTGTAATGATGTAGGGAGGGAGGGAGGTGGTGTGGAGGAGGGAGTGGTGTGGGGGAGGTAGTGGTAGTGTGTGGGGGAGGTGATAATGATGGTGTGAGGGAGGTGGTGGTGTGGGGGAGGCAGTGGTGGTGTAGGGAAGGTGGTAATGATGGTGTGAGGGAGGTAGTGGTGGTGTGGGGGAGGCAGTGGTGGTAGAGGGGGGAGGTGGTGGTGATGTGATGGAGATGGTGGTGATGTGGGGGAGGTGGTTGTAGGGATGGCATTCATCATTAGTGGACGCTTCATGTTCCTTGCAGTCAATTTATGCACATATGAAGCAGAGTAGGGAATCCTTAGCAGCTGGTTAGGGGTTAAAACTAAACAAGTACAAATCCAATAAAATAAATCATCAGGTGTTCATATCCAAACCTCGAACATGACAGAATGCACCACACAGTCTGATAAAACTTACCAAATTCCTTAATACCTGATGATATGACCAGGCCAGTTTGTGCTGCACACACACACACACATCTGCACTACACATAAGGTCTCAAGGTGGCTGCTCTCATCCCACTTGTATAATTTATTTCTGAATGACTGTTTGTTTTAGGTGTTTTTTTACACTTCATTTCAGGCTTGGATTAATTACACTATTTAGGTCAATTACAATTTCAATTACTAAACTAAAGTTTAAATTACAAATACAATTACAAAATTATAAAATTTTGAAATTACTTACATACAAAAATTACAATTACATGTTTTTTAACCATGTTCGGACTATATAGTTAAGTTTCAAATTACCAAGCAAGTTCATTTTATATCAGATTCTGCACTTTATTGTGGTTAGATTTTTGCTCACATTTTCTGTCACTATAATTCATTACTATTCAATTCACAACCATTGAAGCTGACCACATATATCTTTGTTGGACTTGATCAGCAGAAGTTCCCGGAAGGTTGCAACTCCTCGCTGCGCTCTGTCTGTTTGGGGTGAAAATTACCAGCTACACTAAACACTCTTTCTGACGGTGCTGAAGTGGCTGTGCAGCCCAACATTTGGAGGAGAATCCCTACAACAGACCAAGGGGTCCACATCACATGGGACACAGCCCTCCCCTATACACTTGTTCACCCTTATGTGTGTGTGACTTCTGTTCACCTTTAGTTGCAGGAGGCATAAAGGCGAGGCTTCTTTTGTAAACTTTGCGTTGGTTGAGATGATTCACGCTGCTCCTCTTGGTCCTTTGTCCCCATTGTTTCCTTCAGTATTTAGGACTGACAGTCAGATTCCGCAAGAAGTGTTTTGGTGTGTCGAAAGATTTCTTCTTTTTTCTTGAAATGGTAAATCAAGGATCAAAGAAAGATGCTGCTACAATGTCAGGAATTTCCAGAATTGGACCAAGTCTCCTTTTCACTGCTTCATATAAGACTCCTTCATATTTCATAATGTCCCAGTTTCATGGCATATTTGTAATTGGATTAAATTTTAACAGCAAATTGCAATTATAAATACAATTACTTTTTATTCTCAAAGTTCAATTATAAATACAATTACTCATAATTGTGTAATTAATTACAACCAGCTTCAATTACTAATTGATCCAAGTCTGTCCATTTAGCACTTAGATAATTCCCAGTAAGTCTAAATGGGAAAAAATCATACGTTTGGGAATTGTCTAAATAGCAGGTCATATGATGGTCAGGTCAGGTCAGTGAGGGAATAAATCATGTGACTGGGTATAGGAAACAGTCTAAATAGCGGGTCATATGATGGTCAGGTCAGGTCAGGTCAGTGAGGGAATAAATCATGTGACTGGGTATAGGAAACAGTCTAAATAGCGGGTCATAAAATTATGACATCCTATCTTCAAGAAGGTGCGATCGTCACTCCACAAACAACTATAGACCGGTGAGCCTGACCAGCATAATATGTAAAGTACTTGAGAGTATTATCAAATGCCACAATGGAACATCTACTACGAAACAACCTTGTAAAGGATTGCCAACACGGTTTTATGCCGGGACGCTCCTGCTCAAGGTATTGGATATTTGGACCCATATTCTGGAACGGGGTGGTAATATCGACAATATTTACCTAGATTTTGCCAAGGATTTCGACAGTGTACCCCACGAAAGGCTGAAAATCAAACTGGAAGGGTACGGAATTCAGGGAAATGTCCTAGCGTGGATAGAAGACTTTCTACATAACCTCAAGCAGTGTGTGGTGATTAATGGCACGAAATCATCATCCGTACCTGTCACAAGTGGGGTACGTACCATAGCAGTGTATTGGGCCCGTGCCAAAGTGCAGGCACTAGTCTGGTGGCTCTCTTTTGGACATTTTCAATCAATGGCAGTCGCTAGCATATCTCGGGGACCAGAGTGGGTGACAGTACTCCAGATGGGGATGTACTTCACCCGTGAAGATAGGTACAAGGGACGGACCGTCTAGATATGTGAACGACCTTCTTATAAGACCCAATAATTTATTTGCCTGATTTACCTTCTTCTCGCAATGGCCCGAGAACTTCAGCTCATTGTCAACGTACACACCTAGGTCCTTCTCACATTGTCTCAAATAGTGCAGTTTCTTCATCCCGTTGGGACATATGATACGCCTCTTTACCGTTGGTACGTCCCAGATGCAGCCTCTTACACTTCCTGACATTAATTCATCCTTTATCCATCTAGAGAAAAGGCTAGGCAACTGCAGGCTCTGTAATCTCTGTGGACAACCAAGGTCATAGTACAGTACAATACAGTACTGTACTCCAAATAGGAGAGCACCTCACTTTTAGGGAGCATTATAAGGGACGGACCAAATAGGTGAGTGAACACCTTTCTTATAAGACCTAATAGAATGTTCAATAAATTGGTTTAAAAAATTTAATAAAGTAAGTTCTAAGTAAAATTAGAAGACCAACGAGCACATGAAGTCCAAACCTATGTCATTTTAGAGGGCTTCTGGGTGCCACAGAATTTGTGGATGAAAAAGGAAATGAGCAAAACTCAAATAACAAAATTTAATTATTAAGTACGTATTTGGCAGATACAGTACTGTACTGTATTACAGTTCATAGCTACAGTTATAATTACATCATATATCCAGTGAGTTGTGTCAAGAGTTAATGTCATGAAATCAAAGACAAAATTAAAGAATATGAAGATAATTGTGATGAGTCACTGGCTATCTGCATTGTCAAGTGAACATATTAACTCCCTTGTGCAGATCAGTGGAGGCGGGCATCACACACATTACGTAACACAAAATAATGAGTCAAAAAACAATTTATTACTGCTACTTCTACTACAGTACTACTGTTATAAACAACTATTGTACTACCATTACTGCTACTACTATACTACTGTTATTATCACTATAACAACTATTGTACTACCATTACTGCTACTACTATACTACTGTTATTATCACTATAACAACTATTGTACTATCATTACTGCTCCTAAAACTACTGCTATTACTGTACTAGTGTAATACATACTACAAATTGTAAAAATAATTTACTTACAAAAGATAAAGAAGATAAAAACAAATGCCCCTTTATTTAATTATACGTATATGAAATAACTTAACAAGATACAGTACCGTGACCTAATGTGATGGACCAAGTTCTGTTTGTTAGTTACAGTATGTGTTATTTATTTGTTGGGGAGAAACTAAACAGTGTTATTCTTTATAAAGTTTCCTCCAACTACACCCACAAATTTAGCCACACCACATCCACAGGTCTTGTCAAACTACAACCCCACAAGTGTGGTCAAAAAAACCACCCCCTATGTTCCGTCAAACAACTCCATGCAAGCGGAGAAGGGCCATAAAATGTTGATGATGACAAGTGTCGTCAGTGTAGATTCATCATCATCATAATAATAATAATAATAATAATAATAATAATAATAATAATAATAATAATAATAATAATATTAATAATAATAATATCAAATAAGATACACAAAAACATACATTAGTTATAACCTGCCATACAAACACACACACAGGAAGGAAGAAAACGGTAGATATTTATGTACAACTGTTAGAGAGACATTCCATGAGACAAGTATGTAATAGACACAAACTCACTTTCAATTGGTTGTGGGTTAAATGGATTCTAGTCATTAGGTCCCTATCCTCATATGTCCAAGTAGGTCTCAGTCCTAGTAGGTCCCACTCCTAAAAGACCACAATCCTAAGTGGGGCCAACCTAACCTAACCATTATATATATAGTACAAGACAGAGTATCACAGTTAATCTTTCGTATTATATGAGCTCACCAAAAGCACTGAATCACAGAATGAGTAGAGAGAAAGGAAGCGAAGCTGAAAAAGAAAGAGGGAGAAATGAGAGAAAACAAGAGGATAATGCAAGCCAGAATGAAATATGAAGTGAGAACAGTTGAAGATATTACAAAAAATATAACTTCACAAGTACGTCTTCGCGATCTTCCTCTACCACTTTTTCCTCACTTCAGTTGTAGGTCGTTTTCTGTGGAACTGAATGCAGCGGCTTCTCAACAAGTCTTAACAATTGCCTTTTTTCATTAACTGTTTAGCATTTACACATTATAAGAGTCTTTGCACCATAACAGATCAATTCACATTTTTCTTACCAATTCTCTTGATTTCATTTGTACTAGTTTCCTAAAATTTATTCATTGCATTTTCTCAAGTATTTTTGTGACTGTTCCCTTAAATAAAGTAAAGTATCTTTATAAAGGTATTATTAATAAATTTCCCCTTTTATATCATTCATATTCTGCTAAACTAATCTGGATCTATTTGTTGGTCATCTTTCTCCTACACGTATCATCTCAACCTAACAACCTAACCAACTTTTTATATTTGTATTTATGATTGCAGTATTATTTACCTCAGAGACTTCAACACAGAGTTATGGCAATGCTTATCTACTACTGTGTGCCATTTATGTCTTACGCTCTTCAAGATACATATAACATCTTTATTTCTTTGAGGTGTTGTTCATATTTAGTTCGTCTCTGCTTATTATATGACTCTAATATCCCATTTTTCCTCTAATATATGTATCCTCATGTTACTGTTTTCTTTTTACTGATCCTTCTCTCCCTCCCACATTCTCTCTTCACTCTTTGTATTCTTTCTTACATCACGCTACACACGGAGGAGTCCTTCTCGGCATTTTCTTCAGTGGTCATCTCCTTGACCTTCTCGTCAATGATGTGTTGTTGTAGTTCCTGTTGGCGGTGTAGCTCGCTGCGTAGCTTTTCTATCTCCTGGTTAAGGGCTTCCTCCTTCTCCTGCGACAGACATCAGTGGACCTAGTTACTATCTGTACGTACAGCCACTCCTTGACTTACCACGGGGTTAGAGACCCAAATCCAGGTCGAATTGGTCACGAGTCGAAAATAATACATAGAAAATCTAAAATGGGTGTCTCTTTTTCTTCTCAGCACCACAAAACTCTCACTATTAAGCTTGCCAGCCATTTTAAAGGGAATTACAAAAGAAAATTTTGTCAGTGCACAGCGCAATCACTGACGTCGGGACTCAAAAATACGTAATTTGAATTTTTTTTGGTAAGACTGGGGCGGTCGTATGTCCGGGTGGTCGTAAGTCGAGGAGTGGCTGTATACCCCTGTACATCACTATCTATACTGTATAGATGTTGCTATCTCTATCTATCATCTGTCTATCTACCTATAATTTATCTATCAGTTCTATCCATCACCTATCAGAGAGGTAAGGTACAAGTGACTCGGAGGATGAAGTATTATTGTGCCTACCTGTTAATTATCTATTCATACTGTACTACAATCATTACTCACATTACTGTACTGTACTGTATGTATTAATCATTACTGTACTACATTCATTACTATACTGCCTTAATTACTGTCATTTGCAAGTTACATTATTTACTGTCATTACTATACAGTAGAATGTCAATTTAAAGCGATTCAATTTAAGATTATTGATTTAAAGCAACACCCACAATTAAGGACAATGTTTTAACTTAAAGAGAATCTTTCCTATTTTACTTGAGTCAATCTGGTGCATCATATTTAAAATTTTGTGCCTAATGTTTCTCTGGGTACGCTACACTGTCCTCAGGGCAAAGCTGTACTGTACATATACTCAAAATAATGTACTAAATGATTACTAAAATTTTTGTCCAGTGCAAACTATAGTATGTTTATATTCCAGCTATGTAAATTATATTCTCCCCGGTCACTTCTGTGACATTTTATAAGCAAAAAACATAAACTCAAGCTAAAGGACATAAATAAACAAATAAAATACTTCACTAGACCTACGCTGCCAACTGTCAAACATGTCACTGTCACTTCCCCTCCCCCCCTCTTCCCAGCCAGGGTTTGGTGTTTTAGGCTTAAAGTTTTTATCTTATATAATGTCACAGACTAAAGTTAGGAGAATATAGTTTGTATTGCTGGAATCCTTGCAAGACAGCGAATAATTTGAATATAAAAAATTTTGCTCTTTGTAGTAAAATTATTAAATTAGAACTAAAATTTGTATGTCGAATGCAAGCTTTAGCATGTTTATACTCAAATTAATCACTATCTTATAAGAATTCCAGCAATGTTAATTATATTCTCCCATGTCAGTTCGGTGACATTTTATAAGAGAAAAACTTTAAGTCACTCTTAAGGACAGATAAATAAATAAACACTAGACCTTGGCATCAACCGTCAAACATATCACCTCACCTCCCTCCCTCCCCCCCCCTCATCTTCCCAGCCATCAAACAGACCATTTCCCAGCCCTTAATTTTTGCTGTGCTGTGTTTTGTTTATTCTAGGAGATGGGCTGAGGTGCATCTAGGTAGAGTGTCAGTCATTTTAGTATTAAGTGTTTCTCTCAAGTCCCAGACTAAATTATTCCATTGAAACACTTCGATTTAGTGCGAATTCGGTTTAAAGCGACCTCTCTTGGAACGTAAATCTCGCGTTATATCAATGTTCTACTGTACTTCACTTCACTAGTTACTATTATTACTGTACTGTATTAATTACTGTATTAAATTATCTTATATCTTTACTTAAAGAATATCTCTCACCTTTATCATCATTTGTTTTATTTTCTCTTCCTCTCTCACCTTCTCTTATCTCAAGGCTGTCCAATCAGGAGACAAATAATACTGTGATAGTTGCAATGTCAGTTTTTGATTGGGTGGATCCTTGCTGCTTATGCTAAACACACTATACTGCATCAATATATGAATATGTTCTCTTGTTGAGTTGTTAACACAGTCCTTCCACTCTCAACCCCCCAATGACAAGTATCTCTGATCATTATCCATTAACTTCTTCTCTGTCCCTGCCATATACCCTCTTACCCATCTGTCATAAGTCTTCTAGGTTTCATGACGACCCAAAACCCAACTCTTGCTCCTGGTAACAACATCCACCGGAGTATGAACCAAATTCACCCAGGTCCATGCCACTACATAAATCATCCATCCATCTAGTTTTTACTCCTCCTTCCAGCCGAGAACAGTGCTCAAATAAAGCCACAGACCTGATGATATTCCCTTTTTCATTCTCTAACACTATGTACCCAATCTCACTCTTGCCCTCTTTATGGTTTTCTGCCTCTCCTACTTTATAACTGTTCATTCATATGGGATATTAACCACCCTCTAATCTATCCCCTCCCCCCAAAAGGTGATCCAGCCTCCCTCTAGCTCCCATGCCATAGTACTCATCTTAATCATCTCAAAGGTCACATAATCTATCATGAATGAACAACTACTACTGTATGCAGATACCTTCATGATCACCAGTAACTCTCTGGCCAAGTGGCTTCTGTTCCTGCTGCACCACCTCACAGCTACTTGCTCTCCTGACTGCTTCTCTTAAAAATTCAAGAGACTCTTTTTTCGTCTTTCTTTATGTTTCTAATGTTTTTGACAACACCTGCCCCCTTCTCTTTTATCCCCTGATTTATTATTGCCTTAAGTTAATCTCCTTTCATTCCAATCTTTTAAAGAGTACACTCATGTTTACCTCCCTGGGAATGCACTGGAGAGGTTTTAAGAACACCACTTGGATGTGTTATTATGGTGGTGTTAACTTATGAACCTCAACTACCTCACATCATCTTCCTAACTGTCTTACCTTTGCCATCTTCTTTGCCTCCTGTTGTATCCTCTTGTCGTTGTCTTGGGGATTCTTGGGCTTCCTTGTCTTGTTATCTTTCTTCCCTCCTTTCTGGGCCTTTCCTTGGTTACGTTCACCAGGCCGCGGGGAGGGAACAAACGGTGATCGTACTGGCTCGCCGGAAGCTGTCGAGATGAAAAGAATTAGCACACCAGGTTATTATGGCCTGAAAAGGAGAGCAATCACCAGCACATACTCACCTTTACAGTAAGTAATGAGGTCTACTATGTTTTCCAAATGAAGTGTTGGAAGTATTTATGTGCATCAGGAATAATAAGGTGCCCAAACACTGGATAGTTACTGCAATAGTGGTTAGTGACAAGTAGTTGATGAGCTGGGGGGGGAACGGGGGGTAGTGCAGAGCCTGTGGCAAGACATGGGAGGAAGGGAGTACAAAATTTTCACCCTTGAGTATAGTAACTTCACCCTAAAATCACTTGACTCCTTCAATCCATTAATGACCTTTACCCCTTAACCAATAGACACCCAGGTAACCCCCAAGTGACCCGAATCACCATGCATGACCCACTAGCAGTACCAGTTTAATCATGCACAACCTTAGCTGACCTAAGATCCATAACAGCTTATAAAGACACTACTGTAATGTACTAGGAGAGAGGCTGGGACAATAGGCAGAGTATAATTAATTCTTAGATGTAATGTCATGCAGTTCATAAGGTCATTCATGTGATGTACCTAACAAGCAGACCCATAATAATATGATAAATGGTCTGTAAAGGTCTGGGAAGTTTCATTCAAGATATAAGAGTTCTGATGTGCCCATCCTGGAACCTATAAGAGCCTATGATAGCAAAATATCTCAGTTGAAGTGTGCTATATATTGAACTTTTAAAAACTTGTGATAGTAGGTTATCTCAAATCGACTGAGCTCAAGAAACCTAGAAAAGCCTATGATAGCAAGGTATCTCAATTCCAGTGCACTATTTCTGGAACGTATAAAAAGCCAATAATAGGCAGATATCAAGGGACAGGGTGGGGAATATTACTAAACTAGACAGATAACATGCAGAGAGTTAAGATAGCAGCCAGCCACTTTAGCTATGGGGGTTAATAATATCCACACTCACGCGGGTCACGCTTGGCTGTCACTCTACCGTGTCTGTTGTTGTTGTTGTATCTGTTAAACCTGTTGTCTTTACCAGCGCATTTGGAGGACTTCCTGGTTGGTGATGACTTGCGGCTGGCGGGTTTTTTCTTGGCCTCTTTCTTCCCTCCTGGCCACACCTCGTCAGCCCCATCCAGCTCTGCCTTCAGCCAATCAGGAACCTGTAAGGGATGGTGGATGCATATCATTGGTGTACATGTAACTAATAAACCTATCGAATTTCACAGAACAATTACCACCTCAGCCAATCAGAAATATGCAAGGCATGGTAGAAGGTTATCATTGGTGCACTTGTAACCAATCAGGAACTTGCATGAATTGTGGTTAGAGAGAAAAATGTTATGGTGTACAATGCAGTCTCTCTACACACAAAATGACCCTTATAATTGGCCTGTATGTCGTTAAAGTACTGCTGTGATAACTAGTAACATTATCTCATGATAGTAACGCACACTAACTAGCCAGAGTTGTCTTACCGGTCCCACACTATCCATCTCTTCATCGTATCCGCTCTCCTGCTTCTCATTCTGTTTTTCATTCTCCGTCATGACCTCCTCCTTGTTCTTATCCACGATCTCCTTTCCTATCTTTGTTCCTGCTGCCTCTTCCACCTCCGCTGGTAAGGTGCTGTGGAGGTCAAAAGGAGTAATTAGCATGTTATTCTGTGTAGTGTATTATTGATATGTATCATGCGAATGTCAGGGGTGAAAATTTCATAAGTGAATGCCATAAAAGTGTCATGATTGAGAGTGTGATATAGGACATGAGATAGAGATGAGTGTGAGAGACCATGAAGTAGAGGTCATGAGGTAGAGGTGGGCGTGTGAGAGGCCATGAGGTTGAGTGAGACAGACCTGCCAGCCCTAGGTAGAGGAACCGTAGTGTCAACCACGAGGAAGATGCTCTGGTTCTGACAGTGAAGACCCGCCAGATTCACCGTCTCCCCCTTGGCGATCTGTGTCTGGGACGCGTACAACCTGTAGAGGGAGAGAGAGAGAGGGAGGGATTATAGGTGGCCATTTACCCAGAATACATATACCTGTACTGGACCATTTAATCATAGTTAAAGTGTTGGTACTGACGCGAGAACTTCTTGAGGGTGAAGGAGGACATCCCGCATCCTTATCTCCCGCTGGTGTCTGGAGGCTGCCTCCTGCACCGCCCCCACACTGTTGCTGCTGCCACCACTACTGCGGCGACGACCTCCTCCAGGACCACCTCCATCAGCTGCCAACACCAAGTTAATACTTAGTACCTCCTGCCATGCCTCTCTCACATTTGTTATATGTGTATTAGTTGAGCCTTTTGCATATTTTCATCTTATGGCTTCAGTATTTTTTAATTATTATGAGTTATAATTATCAATGTTACACAGCAAAGTACAAAAACTATTGGACACTGGGAGCTGGAAGGATACTGCCTTACATATTCTCTCAAGACACACATTGTATTGTATGTCCTCTAAGTGACAAGAAAATTAAAGGAAATTTTCACATATAAAAGAAACAATAAATTAAATTACATATGACCAAACACAAGGTGTTTTTCTTAATGTTTCAAGTTGTACAACACTCTGTGATAGTGATGTCTCATTTAATATTCAATTACAGTTTTTTCATTTCCTATGTGTCTGTTCTTTCAGCTAAAGAGGAGTGACTAGTGCTCAGAGTAAGGCGAGTACCGAGGCCAATCACCTCCACTCATCATCCTTCACACCTTTGTGAAGCTATAGTCATCAACTTACACACCTGTGGAGTTGCCAGGATCAGTCTTGTGTTGGTCATCCTCCTCCTTGGCATTAAAGTTAAACTCTGGGTCTTTGGAGTTGACAACAGCCGACCCTAGCCCACTGCGTTGACCCCACGTGTTGGTGAATCCTTCCTGCGGGTGACAACTGTACCATCAAACACTAGTTGTGACACTATGTTGGAATTAAAGAAGTTTCTGCCAAACATTATTGCCAGGATCTGCAGTGCCATAATTGTTTTTCTTAAATAGTTTATAGCCAACATATACTTTACTATAATACCTCTCACACTAAAACAATAACATTAAATTAGGTTGAGTCAGGCTGGGTTATGTATAGCAGTGAGCAGACACAATACCTGAGTGTTTGGCCTGGTGAGGGGGCTGATGGCTCTGGTGCCCCACAGGTAGAGAGCGTTCTCGAGGGTGCCAGCCACAGTAAACGTCGACCCGCACTGCACCATCTGTCAACCAACACACAATATAGTACACACCTTGTAATACACACACACACACACACAAACGAACTTATATGCTAACACCTTGAGTAAGATTAATTAATCCCCTTGAGTTCTGTTAACTTTTAAACTATCATCAGATACATATATCAAGACTGACTCACCGTGACGATCTTGGAAGACATGGAGCGGACGAGGACGGGCTGGATGACGGAGCGGGTGTTGCCACGGCCCAGCTGACCCTCACTGTTACGACCAAACGTCAGCACCTGTGTGTGTGTGGGAGGGTTTAATGAGATGACTCTATGGTGTTGACAGAGTACCACAAATAAACCCGTTAAACCTATCGTTATTTTCTAGAGTTATGAATGACTTTGTTTGTGAGCATAAAAACTTTTGTTGTTGAAGCACAGATTTTGAGAGGAAGAAAAAGGAAAATCTACATGTTCTATATCATCTGCTTACTAATAATAAAATGATAATAGTAGTAATAGTAAATGAAATGATAATAGTATTCATATCACTCGGTAGAGTAATACTTGTACCTCATAACCACAACAACTGGAGGGGTGGGGATGGGAAGGACCTACCTGGCCAGTCTCAGTAAGGATAGCAGTGTGTGAGGGACCCATGGCCAGATCCACCACCCGGCATCCTATGCTCCTCACCCGCGTCGCCACTAGTGCCTTCTCCACCTCCTTCTGCAGTAGATAATGGTGTATATGCGAGTGAGCAAAGCCTTAGTACGCATTATTGTGGTAATTTGAAATGATTCTTGTTGTTTTTGGATTGTTGTTTTAATTGTTGTTGTTGGAAGTTCGTTTAAATTGTCTAATCTTACAATAAATAATGTAGTATAAATGATGTAGGATTCTTATTGTGTGTAACAATAAAGATAATGTCAATAATAGCAACGGCATGATAACACCACGAAATCGGGCCACCACCCGTAACACCAACACTCACCTTAAACTTCATACTAAAGAGGCCGCCTCCCTCACTCAGCCCCAGTTTGTTGCGGGTGTTCTGGCCGCAGGCGAGGAGGGCGCCCTGGTCCGTGATGAGTAAGGTGCCGTCGCCGCCACACTTCACGTTCGTCACCATAATGTCCTCTGGCAGCTCGATCTCCGTCGGCAGGCACCTGTAGGAGGAAGAGGGAGGAGTGGTGAGATGGAGAAATGAGGAGGAGGAGGCAAGTGGGGAGATAGAGATATGTTAATGGGACATCAAAAACATTACAGTACAACACCTAAAAATAATAGCTATTAGAGTCATCACTAATATTACATACAAACAATTATATCAAAAATAGAATCACAATATTTAGAACTGGAGGCAATAAAGATACAGTACTCACACATCGTCTTCATGCCCAGTGCCCAGCCTACCCCCCTCTCCACGGCCCCAGGTGAACACGTCCCCCTCAGCTGCCACCACCACCACATGCTGACTCCCGCAACAGATGCCTCCCACGTCCACCGCCAGCAAGCGCTCTGAACATCAACAAAGACACATCAACATTCAGTGGTACAGTATATGGTACACTGAGTTCTTGGAAATATGTATTATATTATTTTTTTATGACTATATTACAAATTAATGTGTATTAATTATAATTTATCTTGTAATTATTATTTCTTACTGGTTTTCTTGTTATTTTATTACCCAACCTCACCTCACTCTACACAGTCATACATTATCCTAAAGACACCCTAACTTAACTTAACCCATCTCCTCACCCTAAGCATCACCCTCACCTATAAGCTTGGGCTTGGTGGAGCTGTTCCAGTCGCCGTGACCGAGACAGCCAGAGGTGCCATCCCCACACGTCATAACGATGCCATTATCGGAGGCGAAGACCGAGAAGCCGTCCCCAGCACACACCCTTGTTATGGCCTTTCCTTTGAGCGCTTCCACCACTGTCGGCCTCCCACGCCACGCCTCCAGTGCCTCGTGACCCAGTTGGCCCTTCCTGCCCTCACCCCACGTGTAAACCAGGCATTCTGTTCAAGGGATAATTTCTGTATTGGCACTCTGTCCTGGGAAGGGTCATCCTCTTCTGAGATTAATCACTATCAATTACTATGAGTATTTGGTTTGTTAAGTACTGTACTTTAATATTAAACAGCAAAAATTTTATGAGATTTAGTGTAAGATCTTTGGTAATGCTGAGGATGAGTGTTAGAAAGAGTCATGTTAAGTTACCTGAGCTGAGGAGGACAATGTGTGTGTTGGATACAGCCATCTCCTTGACTCGTGTCCTGGGAGAGAGAGGAACAGGGTTGAGGGTGATAGAGGAATCGTACACCTTCATGTGGTACACAACACTTCGCGGTGGCCTCGAGGACCTGAGGAGATGGAGAAGACATCAGGTAGCATTAGGGTGTTTAATCATCTGGTGAAATAAGCTGGAGGGTTAACCTTCATGTGATCCAATTTCAAAAAGCTTCTCAATACAGACAGTAAACACACAAGTCAGTGCTGTGCCAGTGATTCTGAATACATAATCAAAGGGTGAATCAGTGTACCTGGAAGCTTGATTCTGTCTGGCAGCTTCAATGGATCGCTTTAGTTCGTCGTCAATCTCCTCCACCCCCAGACCCTCATAGGAGAACTGGGCCAACAGCTCTGGTAAGCGCTCTGATACAACCTGACATGTAAAAGCACACAGCAGTATTAACTTCTTCCCTTGCCATGCCATTAATATCACATCATAGGTTATTAAGATCACATTAGACATCAAGATCACACCACAGGTCATCTTGGCTATTGAGACTGGGTCCAAATCTTTAAATAATTAGGTTAGATTGAAGCCCATTACAGTCAGGCTTTGAACATAAGGATCATAAGGATTGGTTTAGATTTGGGGCCCATTAGCACTGTGGCCCACTTAATCTACCCCTACCCCTATTGACCTGCAAGCCCATGACATACCTCAGCAGCGGTAGGTCGGAAGTCTGGGTCACGCTGTAGGAGGTCACGTACCAGCTGCTTGAACCCTGGGGAGTAGTTACCCTTGATTGGTGCAAACTGACCCTGAGGACCACAACAACACAGCTATTAGTAATGGTATAAAGTAACGCCTTTATTTGTAATGGTAATAATAACTAACACTGCAACACCTATATAACAATAACAGTACATTTACTTTTGGTTTCTTCACTTTCATTCATCTTATCATCATGTTCATTTCACTATCTTGTTACTCCTCCTCCAACACCTCACCTTCATAATCTTGTTAACGAGGGCTGGCAGGTTGGAGCCCTCAAAGGTCTTCTGGAGGCAGGCCATCTCATACAGTATACACCCCAGGGCCCAGATGTCACTCTTCTCATCATACTGCTTCCCCTCACACTGTCAGGTAAAACAATGAATTACACCAAAGTATCATTTCAAGTTTGTCATTATCAAACTGGGTTACCACAGGTGTATTAAAGTGTACCCTATAATAGGAATGGTTTAGGTGGGCTTTACCTAAACTATGCAAGTTACTGTACATTAACTAGGAGCAGAAAGATATGATTCCCTTCATTAAGTCATATCTCAATACAATAACATACAACACAACAAGAGAACAAACAGCCAAGAGCACCTCTTTGGGTTGCCTAAGTTTTAGCCCTTTTGAGTAAACGAAGTGGCTACTTGGCCGGGAAAACAGTCATGACAAGTTGGGTGTTGAGGTTTGGAGTACAGTATAATATATGTCAGCCTGTTGACAGCTCAAGAGCAACTGACCTGAAATTAACTTACCTCTGTAAGCGGAGATCTTTAGCCAACGAGCGAGCACCCCACCTCGCACTACAAAAGGTGTAGCTTGTAGATGTTAACAGAGTGTATTGTACTGTACCTTTAAGATTTACACACAACACGGCACACAAACACATCAGATGTAAAGGTTTCCTTAAGTTGTTGTTTTGAGAGGTTATCATCTTCAGTCAGTCCCAACATAAGGAGATGAATCAAGAACTAATTTGGCTCTGTCTTCGTCTAATGTAACCACGTCACCTACTTCCCCAACATAGATATACCTTACTTCTGCAGTTTTTAACCCCACTTTTTCTCACTTTTCTACTTCCTTAAATTAATTACCTTTCCTCTGCCTTTTTAGTCTATTTTATCTCACTCTTCTACTTCCCAATCTCTCTTATAGTTTCCTCACTGTCTCTGATCAAGGTGGTTCTCTCACCATCTCGGGGCTGATGTAGTAAGGTGTACCCAGGACGGTATGGGCGTGAGCTGAGCGGGTGTTCATCATCTTGCTGATGCCGAAGTCCCCCACCTTCACCACCCCCTGCTTGGTGAGGAAGATATTGGCCGTCTTCAGGTCCCTGTTGATGGTGGCAGTGGTGAGACGGAGACAGAAGGATGGGAGTAAGGCTTGCAATGATGTGGATGGACACACACACACACACACACACAAATATGGTAAAAAATGGATGTACAGTATATGGTCAAAAATACAAACATATAGTGTATACTAATAATGTATTTAAATGTGTTGATAAAATATATGTACAATATATTGTGATTAAGTTGTAGCGATGTGTTTTCTTCAACCAACATCCTAAGTTCCCTTAAACCCACTGATATACACAAACAGCCAACAAAAATAAACAAACACACACATATAATCACGAACATGCATAAACAAAAACAGCCAAACACACCTGTGAAGTATGTGGTGCTCATGCATGTAGGTGAGAGCTGCAGAAATTTGGTGGAAGATGACAAGAATCTCTCGTTCGTCAATACGCTTCACCCTCTGTGTAAGGTACTGCGCCAGGCTCCCACCATCAGCGTAATCCATCTCTATACACAACACCGTGTCCCTCTCGAAGCTGTCCATGTAGCTATGGGTATATGGGACATGGTTAGCATGTTCAGTTACAGACGTACGGAGACTTGGTCGTAATCCTTGTAAATACTAATGATATACAGGAACAAGGATCACCAATAAATGTCCAAATCTTTAGTGACCATGACGTCACGATAACCCCCGTGGGTCAACTGAAGTTTAGGAACCCCGGAGGAATAACTGAATTTATATACACCCTTGGTACCTGGGAGACTAAAGCAAGTTGAGATAATTGTTTTCAGTACCAAGTTCATGATTGGAGGATTCGAATCGAGTGAGTTAGTTGCTGCTTCGTCCTGGTGTACCTAGCTAGTATTCCTGTTCACCCTGGTAATGTAATGTATACCCTCCCACTATCTAAAATTATCACACTCCTATTACACAGTTTTTGGAGAATTTACCAGTCTGTCCATCTGCCAATTTACTTAAGCATGTCTTTTTATGTACAGGTATTTATTTACAAGTATATACAGTACATCTGTCTAGTTAACTGTCAATCTACAGCTTTAGTATGGTCCAGACTCTTAACTCAGATGACCTTATTGGGGTGAGAAATAATAACCTGAGTTGACCCGGGCTGACCTGATGATGTTGGGGTGGTCAAGCATGGCCAGAACATTGACCTCGTTGAGAGCCATTTGACGCTCCGAGGCAGACAGCTCCAGCATGTTGATCTCCTTAATGATGACCAGAGCCTCGTCCTCCTTCCGGCGGTACAAGACGGCGCTCCCGAAGGCTCCTGCCAACACCACACTTATTGAACCCACTGCTAACAACACCCCTCAACTAATTACTGACTGGTCAAATGAACTAAAGTACAAATTAACTCCCTAACCTAACCACACCTTCCATGACACAATTGAACCTAATCTATCTTACACTAAACTAAACTAACAGCTTAACTTAAACTAATCTAACCCGACCTGACTTGACCAAACCTCAATACATCTACCCTAACCTAAATTAACCTAACATGACCTAAAGTAACATAACTTAACCTAACACAATCCATCTCAACCCAATCTCACATCATCCGACCTGAACAACATGGGTACAATGACTATGCCCTTATGATAATTTAGCTACTGTGTATGTGTGTATGTGTAGATATGTAAGTGTGTATGAAGATATGTATATATGTGTTGTAGATATGTATGCATGGTGTGTATGTATGAGTGTGTACGTACCTTTGCCAACAAGTCTAATCTTCTCATAGTCACGGTCAAGATCCTTCACCCTCTTCTTGGCTCCACTGCCCGCTGTCTTGAGAGCATCCTTCAGCTTCTTCAGGTCAAAGTACAGCTCTCCCAGGGTCAGGGACACCGACCCCTCTGGACCCCACCTCACCACCTCCACGTCTGACCCCTGTAGGTCCTTACTCAGGGTCACCGGGATCTGTTGCGTATACAAGGATATCAGGTCAGGTTAGGTTACTGACTATGAAAGATGAGGTCAAGCAAGGTCAATAGGTCATTCTCCCTCCATCTATCCCTACTTGCCCCCCCTCTATCCCTCCCTCCTCCTTCATCTCTCCCACCCTCCTCATCCCTCTCCCTCTACCTCCCTCCTCCATTTCTCACCTCCAGCAGGGTGTGGAGGGTGGAGGCTATACGGGCGCCCTGGTCATCGTGGGCGGGGTGGGCGGCCAAGAAGTCGAGGCGGGCATTCATCATTGTCCGGTCAACGTGGGTGGACACCAAGCTACTGAGGAACTCCCTGACTGACACCTGTTCTGCCGCTGAATGTCCGCTCACCACCTGTCAACACCAGTACACCTCACCATCTCAACACCTGTACACCTCACCATGTCAACATCTGTAAACCTCAGTACTTATTAAAATATGCATCTCAACATCTGTCAACATCTGTATCTTACATCTGTCAACATCTGTATCTTACATCTGTCAACATCTGTATCTTACATCTGTCAACATCTGTATCTTACATCTGTCAACATCTGTATCTTAACACCTGTCACCAGCTATACACCTCACCTTTTGTCATTCGCATTGGTATTACCATCATCATCATCATTACTACATATGTTATTAGTCTATTATCATTGTTATTATTATTTATATCATCATGTTGTTAGTCTATTAATCATTATAATTACAGTATTAACTTTAATATTATTATGATTATCATTATCACACTCATTCTCATTTTCAGTTCCATATTATCATCACCACCACCACCATACCTTCTCTCCAGGGCCACACAGATAAAGTTGGGATTCAGAGCCATGTAGCACCACTGCCAACGTCTCCACTTTCCTCCCTGCCAGAGCTCCGGAGACCTGACCTGTGGTGATACGAGAGATATTCAGTAAAAGTTTCAGATGAGTTTACATTGATTATGTTCACAGACAGTACAGGTATACAAACAATGTACATAAACAATACAGGTATATTTCCTTGTCCTGCACTGGCCTACCTTCCCTTGTCCTGCCCTGGTCACCCTTCCCTTGTCCTGCCCTGGTCACCCTTCTCTTGTTTTGCCTTGGCCTGTCTTCCCTAGCCTTGCCCTGGCCTACCTGCCCTGCCCTATCTTCCCCTGTTCCCCCCCAGCCCACCAAACTCACTGAGGATGTGGTCGAGTGTTGAGGTCTCATACTTGTAGGTGACAAGGAGGACTCCTGGCAGGATGGAGCAAGCAATGGGGCCCACGTGTCTGGCCCTCGACGACACCAGCAGGAGGCGCCACCGCTGTTTCTGGGGGGCCTTACCCGATCCCCCGCCTGACGATGCCTGCGACGATGACCCGGGTGTCCCTAGACGTCTCGGTGACGACGGTGACGATGGGGTCACAGGGGCGTCCAGACCCGGAGGCATCCTGCAGGAGAATCTGGTGATGATTACTGAGAGAGAGAGAGAGAGAGAGAGAGAGAGAGAGAGAGAGAGAGAGAGAGAGAGAGAGAGAGAGAGAGAGAGAGAGAGAGAGAGAGAGAGAGAGAGAGAGAGAGAGAGAGAGAGAGAGAGAGAGAGAGAGAGAGAGAGAGAGAGAGAGAGAGAGAGAGAGAGAGAGAGAGAGAGAGAGAGAGAGAGAGAGAGAGAGAGAGAGAGAGAGAGAGAGAGAGAGAGAGAGAGAGAGAGAGAGAGAGAGAGAGAGAGAGAGAGAGAGAGAGAGAGAGAGAGAGAGAGAGAGAGAGAGAGAGAGAGAGAGAGAGAGAGAGAGAGAGAGAGAGAGAGAGAGAGAGAGAGAGAGAGAGAGAGAGAGAGAGAGAGAGAGAGAGAGAGAGAGAGAGAGAGAGAGAGAGAGAGAGAGAGAGAGAGAGAGAGAGAGAGAGAGAGAGAGAGAGAGAGAGAGAGAGAGAGAGGCAAGGAAGAAAAGCATGGTATTGAATATGTTGTGTCTGCATCATTCACAACCATAAATAACATATGTGGACAAAATTCCTTCCCATACATACCACTAGACTTATCAGCATAGTTAACCTTTACCACTTGAATACATAACACTCCTGCCACTATAGTTATCAAAGTATTGGTGACATAAAGAAATATCTAAACTATCGTGTAAATAAACAAAGTGTAGATAAGGTTTTCACATTGTAACATCAATTACCAAATATTACCAGTCATCATAGGCATTTAAGAGCCTCGTATATTAATAATCGTAGTTTCAATACTAATATACCAAAAAGAAATGGAAATATAACAAAACATCGATCAGTTTGAACAAGTGAACTCCCAACTTGATGCTGTGACAATATGTTTCTTTTGTGTGTGTGTGTGTGTGTATACAAGAAGCATTAATAGTGTGACTATGTTTGCGTGTGTACAGTTGGCGTTAATAGTGTGTTTGTTTGTGTGTGTGCTTATGTGTTTTTGTATGTGTGTTTGTGTCTGTATATGCGTGTGTGTTTATATAAGACGTTTATAGTGTCATTGAGCTCAAAACCAACTTTCAACCTGCAAACTCTATACCCCAGAACAGATTACTTATCAAATTCACTTACCCGCGTTTATTATGATTTCCGTGTTCAGAAATAACTGTCGTCTATACACCCATGTTTGTCATGATATCCGTTTTCTGCCCCTCGGTTAATCTGCAAAACATTTTGGTGGATATAATGCAGAGTGCAACAAACAAGCAGGACACTTCCCTCCACCGCGGTAGACCTAGCAACCGTTTGTTTACACCGGTAGCCAAGCACCACATCTCACTCAAAGTTACTAGACAGGAATATTTCCTTCCGATGCTTATTGTAATATAATATTTAAATTCAGTATTACAACTAAGGTGTTTTCCTTATTATTATTATTATAAACCTACATTAATCTAGTATTCTACAAAATGACAGGATTATTCAACTGTAACAAAAATCTCACTGGATAAGGATATTTAGTGAATATTTTCAAATAATTATCCTACATGTGTCAGGTGCACAGCTGGTCTTAATTATCGGGCCTAAACAAAAGTTGTCACTTTTTTTCTTTTACTGATTCACTTATAATAGAACTCGCAATTACTGCTACTGGTAATTCTCAGTGTGCCGTATTGATGTTTACTGTCGGGCACAACATAGGTAACAGCGAATTGAAGTGTGAATACCGGTATAAGAGTGGTGAAGTAACTATTAACGACTCTGCTGAACCATTTATAAAACAGGGATAATAAGGGGGAAAATACATTGTTCATGTCACAATGCAGCCGAAGGAAAAACATCTTGACAATTTTTATATAATTTCAATTAGGACATTGTGGGGTTTTGGATGTTTGGTTCACACTCAGGATGGGTTGGAGAAAGGAAACTCACAATGTGCTCTCTATATACTACATGTTGTATTGGATGTACAATGCAGCTTGGTGCTGGGAAGGCAGCATGGTTACAAGCGTGATGTAGAGAGAGCTGGTTGGTGAGGGTGCTCAGAGGAGGACCAGCCTGTGGGTCGCCATGCTCGCCGGCGGGAGCGAGGACCGCCAGGCAGGCGGAGGAGGAGGAGGTGTTGCTTGCTGCGGCTGTAGCTAGAAGAAGAGAGAGCTGGTGGGTGAGGATGCTCAGAGGAGGACCAGCCTGTGGGTCGCCATGCTCGCCGGCGGGAGCGAGGACCGCCAGGCAGCGGCGGAGGAGGAGGTGTTGCTTGCTGCGGCTGTAGCTAGAAGAAGAGAGAGCTGGTGGGTGAGGATGCTCAGAGGAGGACCAGCTTGTGGGTCGCCATGCTCGCCGGCGGGAGCGAGGACCGCCAGGCAGCGGCGGAGGAGGAGGTGTTGCTTGCTGCGGCTGTCGCTAGAAGAAGAGAGAGCTGGTGGGTGAGGATGCTCAGAGGAGGACCAGCTTGTGGGTCGCCATGCTCGCCGGCGGGAGCGAGGACCGCCAGGCAGGCGGAGGAGGAGCGAGGGCCGCCAGGCAGCGGCGGAGGAGGTGTTGCTGGCTGGTTGGTGTAGGTAGAAAGAGACAGGTCACCACGAGGTCAGGTCTTAAATAGCGGGGGTAGGCGTGGCTAGTAGTTGACCCCCGCTCCGTGATGTATGGCGGCGCTGGTTGACCTAGACCACGAGGCATACACTGGGGAATTGGTGGGGTCGGCTACTCAGCGACAAACAGCGTTTGTAGGGGAGAAATCCACTACAACATTATTGTATGGAGCGGATAATCTCCGAGATTTTTAGTGATACACCTCAATCAGAACGGCTTTATTTACTCCAGATAACAATAGCGAGGGCCATTGCAGTAATAAGTCTTTTGTTGATGTTCTTGTTGCTTAGTTTACCTAGCCATGACGTTGTAGTGGATTTCTCCCCTACAAACGCTGTTTGTCTCTGAGTAGCCGACCCCGCAAATTCCCCAGTGTATGCCTCGTGGTCTAGATCAACCAGCGCCGCCCACGAAGCGGGGGTCAACTATCTACCCACGCCTACCTCCGCTATAAAAGACCTGACCTCGTGGTGACCTCTCTCTTCTTCTAGCTACAGCCGCAGCCAGCAACACCTCCTCCTCCGCCGCTGCCTGGCGGCCCTCGCTCCTCCTCCGCCTGCCTGGCGGTCCTCGCTCCCGCCGACGAGCATGGCGACCCACAAGCTGTCCTCCTCTGAGCATCCTCACCAACCAGCTCTCTCTACATCACGCTAGTAACCACGCTGCCACTTCCCAGCACCAAGCTGCATTGTACATCCAATACAACATGTATACAGAGAGCACATTGTGAGTTTCCTTTCTCCATCCCATCCTGAGTGAGAACCCAAACAACCCGTACCCCACAACGTCACTTCCTGTTCGGGTAAATGAATAGTCCGGATTTACACCCCCCCCCCTTCCACGGCATCGCAATACACCATGAATGTCAGTCTGTCAGTGAACCAAGGTTTGCATTCTCGTTCGGCTATGCCTTTGTTTCCCGTCTGTGAGGCCCGAACCAGCGACCTTAATTAAGACGAACTACTACTACTACTAATAATAATGGTAGTAGTAGTTATATAGATAATGACGTATATAATACTACTATAGTTAACATTACTAGGCTATTACTACTCCTATTATTATTACTAATACTTGTACCACAACTACTACTTATAACACTATTGCCAATAATAATAATAATGTAGTGGATTTCTCCCCTACAAATGCTGTTTGTCGCTGAGTAGCCGACCCCACCAATTCCCCAGTGTATGCCTCGTGGTCTAGGTCAACCAGCGCCGCCATACATCACGGAGCGGGGGTCAACTACTAAGCCACGCCTACCCCCGCTATTTAAGACCTGACCTCATGGTGACCTGTCTCCCTTTTCTACCTACACCAACCAGCCAGCAACATCCTCCTCCTCCTCCGCCTGCCTGGCGGTCCTCGCTCCCGCCGGCGAGCATGGCGACCCACAGGCTGGTCCTCTGAGCGTCCTCACCAACCAGCTCTCTCTACATCAAGCTTGTAACCATGCTGCCTTCCCAGCACCAAGCTGCATTGTGCATCCAATACAACATGTATATAGAGAGCACATTGTGAGTTTCCTTTCTCCAACCCATACTGAGTGTGAACCAAACATCCTGAACCCCACAATAATAATAATAATAATAATAATAATAATAATAATAATAATAATAATAATACATAATAATAATGCTACTGGAGTGGTATTACTAATAACAGTAATAACTTGCTTACATGCACCACTGACTCTCAGCTTACCAAGTATCATACAGTATATGAAATTATCCATTACAGAAAATGACATATGGAGTATCGTGTTGTAAGTAATGTGACCTTCATCTAACGTTTTCGGGTGGGTGCAAACAGTTTGGGGAAACAACCGACCATGAGCTGTTTCCTTTGTGTATTGTTATTAGTTTAGTCAGGGAAGAGGAGGTGGGGGGTGTGGGTGTCGGAGTTACTTGACCAAAGTCAAAGTGACGTCCACACTCCACTTCGACTCCAGAATGATAACACACGCCACGCAGGTCTGTTCTTCCTCGGGGACTCTGGAGCTCGTCTGCCTGAGATTGTCTCTCAGTACTAAAGCAACAGCGTGTTTTCCAACACACAATCTTGAAAAAAGAAAAGGCGTGTATTGTAGTGACATATCTGTATAAAGTTTTAAATTAATCCATTTTGTCATCTTGGAGAAAAGTTCATTCACACAGACGGCACCTATTTCTGTATATCTCTTCCGATCGAAAAACCTGATGTTGAAAATTATATGACACTAATCTTCAATACAATAACAGACGAACAGAATTAAACCACAGCAATATTTTCAGATCAGTGGTGGTAACCCAAAACACAAGCCGTCCACCATACGATGTTGCTGGGGGCCCCTTGGGTGCTGTGCCTGATGGCGATAATGGTGGTGGGGTTGTGGGGTACGGGTTGTTTGGGTTCTCACTCAGGATGGGATGGAGAAAGGAAACTCACAATGTGCTCTCTGTATACATGTTGTATTGGATATACAATGCAGCTTGGTGCTGGGAAGTGGCAGCTTGGTTACAAGCGTGATGTAGAGAGAGCTGGTTGGTGAGGATGCTCAGAGGAGGACAGCTTGTGGGTCGCCATGCTCGCCGGCGGGAGCGAGGGCCGCCAGGCAGCGGCGGAGTAGGTGGTGTTGCTTGCTGTGGCTGTAGCTAGAAGTAGAGAGAGGTCACCACAAGGTCAGGTCTTAAATAGCGGGGGTAGGCGTGGCTTAGTAGTTGACCTCCGTGATGTATGGCAGCGCTGGTTGACCCAGACTACGAGGCATACACTGGGGAATTCGCGGGGTCGGCTACTTAGCGACAAACAGCGTTTGTAGGGGAGAAATCCACTACAATACTCCCCCCTTCCCTCCAGGCAGTGTAGGAGACTTATTGTCTGCAGGGTTGCATGGCACATGTGAGGCAGAACGGGCGGTGCATGCCACATATGAGCAATAACGGCGAGGGCGTGGATGAGCCGGCCGCTAGAGGAGACAACTGTCTAGATACACAATATCTGTGGGAGTAGAGAGGGAGAAAAAGGGTGTGTGGAGGCGATGAATGTTGTGCTTCCCTCACGGCAGGTACAGAGTCGTCAGATGCGCCTGCTGGGGTGTGTGGGCCTGGGTCAGGTGCAGGGGCTGCGTCAGCAGAAGCGGATGAGGGCTCGTGGCAGCAGCTGGGTCCACGACAGCAGCAGGGTGCAGGACAGTAGCAGGGGGTACCTGAGGGAGAAAAGGGGTATGTGGGTCCGCACTCAGGCGCATGGGCCGTGTTGGGAGCAGGGACTGCATCAGGAGAAGCGGCAGGGAGTACTGCTGGGCCGGGGGGCGGCGTCTGAGGCAGGACGGGTGTGCTGGGGTCGGTAGGACGTGGTGCTTGGGGCAGGAAGAGGAGCTGGTGTCTGCTTAGAGAAGCAGTGCTGCTCTAGGGTGTCTAACCTGCGGTGTAGAGACAGTAGCTGTAGAGCCGATGAGAGCTGCTTCTGGGTGGATAAGCCAGTCTTCCATGTTGCTTGAAGACTGGGAGCGTGATCTGTTTCTCCTCCATCCTGTGTGAGTGCGAATCTCCGGGGGTCACCATTTGTGGGGTATGGGATGTGTTGTCAAAGAGAAACAATTGGGACCCTACAATTGTGTAAATGAGGCAGAAAGTCAGATCAGCAACCTGGGACTTGGTCACAATTTTTGTGATGCCATATGGCAGTCAACCATTAGACAATACATTATGCTTCCAATATGTTCCCAGGCGGTAGTACCTCCCAGTTTGGTAGCTGCCTACTACCTACTGTACTTAATCTTAAATTGAGTGTCTGTGTATTACCTCATTCTTTTGCTGCTCTACAGTCCATTCCAGCTGACTGACAATAAATTAATCCCCCCGAGTTTTCCTTCTTTTTCCCTCCCAACAGAAACATACATTAAATGGAATTTTGGTTCCCAAACAGCAAGAAACCCGTAATTTAAAAAAATAAATAAAAAATAAATATTCATGAAACAAAACTTTACAATACAGTATTATACCTAAAAAATTATGTTCACGAATAACAAAAAACCTGAAATGGGTACTTTAGTACCTAACAAATTGCTAGACTAAATACCTGTATGTATTAATCTTGTACTATATACAACTGGTACTTTACTTTATGTGAGGGTTCACCACAGGGGGTGAGGAGTGGTATGCTGACTAAGAGCTTTACCATTTCTTGTATAAGCCAATATTGCTTCAGATAGCGTGAAAGTGATTTTCATATAGTGAACGTCCGTATAGTCTCCAAAACTTGCTATTTTTAGATTAGTTGCTGTAACACCACACAACTCTCTTG